GCCAAAACCCATGCTTCACATATTTTTTTATTTTTTCCAAACTTCTTGAACAAACACAAGTGTTGCGCACTGATTCTGAGCTTGTTTGGGACATTTGGAAGGAATGATCACGCTGCAAAGTCAGTTCAGAGGTTGAGGCTTTAGGGTGGCAAGAGGAAATTCGGATTTTACATGAGCCATAGTCTAAACTCCTTAAAAGGGGTTATATAGGGGATGATATAGGGGACTGCTATAGGGGCTACCAGGAATTTAAACAATGGCGCACATGAAATCCTAAGAATGGCGTGGACGTGTGTGGTGTGCGGGTTGGGACTTTCTGGCTGCCCCAAATGAAGCATGCCTGGAAACCCATAGTGCGTTTTTTTGGGTGTGCTTAAGCCCTGCATACCTCCGTGTCCTTGTGTATTGCATGTGAATTTAGGTTGGCAAAGTGGGGAGTAGGATTGGACATTCTGGTTTGCTTGGGCAAGACTTTCTCCCCCAAGGTTGCATAGGGGACTGCCACAGGCTCAAACGTGCATGGTTGTCATAGGATGTTGCCGCAATTAGGTATGCAAATCCTGTTTTGGCCCAACCCACATAAGCCCTGCAGTGGTCATGGTCTCAATTCCTGCAAGGAAGACTGTAACTCTGATTGATCACTTCCCCTCAGACCTTGAATGTTCTAGCTGTTGCCATTCTTGTTCCATTCCCCTGATATACCCCTACATAATCCCTTTTCGGAGGATTTCGGTATCAGGGCGAATGCATTATAAGTCAGCTTGGCTCGGAGGAGCCAATTCCACGGCTTTCCGCGAAAGAGGCAAGTTGCGTTTGCACCGTGCTTGTCTGGAAGGGGTATTGCCGTTGAGCCGAAAAATCTTGCATTCCATCTAAGCACCTTATACCTTGGGTAGCATGATGCATGTAGGATTTTGGGTGCCCACAGTAGGATATAGGAAGAAGATCAGGCTTGACAGAAATTAGGGGTCGTGTAAGAATCATAATTAGAGCGGTTTATAGGGTTATGTAAAGGTTGCACCCTGGAAGAAGTCCTTCGAGCACTTCTTGCTGGAGACCTGGGCTTCATCCTTCCCGCCACCACGAAATACAGGGTAGGTGAACAGGGCTGGGGCGCAGAGATACAGGATTTCCAGAAGATCCGCAGTTTTTTTGTTTGACTTCCTTCTTTGAAGTATGGCTTTGGAGGACTGAACACTTGCCGTAAACGTATCCCTTCCAGCCCTCGCTTTTTCTTTTTTTTTGCACCTTGTTTTGACTTGGTGCTTTCCTACATGGGGAAGCAGTAATTCAGAATAGCCCTAGTCCTTTTGCAAGATCATTTGGAGGTCAGAGAGGCGCTTGGCGTCACTTCGAGTCGCAACGCGGCATGCTATTCAATCCATGATGCGAATTTCTTAACCGGAGTTTGTTATACGGGCCTTAGGATTATATCGGATTCGACAGGAATTCTGGGGAGTATACAGGTAGTGACTTTGAAGCCCTCCCGTGATAGCGCGGCCACCACAGAATGGGGTTCAGCAACGGGAGCCGAGTTTTGCAATCAATCGGTAAGTAGATGGGCCTCAACAAGTTCACAACGTGGGGTTGGGGGGAGCATTAGATGCATTCGCCATGTATCCTGCTAGTACAGGAGCTAAATGCACCCAAACACGGCCCGGCTTGGGAGTGGAGTGGGGGGCATAGTTTTCCCCACAGAAAGGTGGGAGGCGGACCAAGTTCTAGGTTGTTAGGTAAACCCTAAACCTGAAGCCATAGCTCAGAGTCCGAGGTGCGGTGATGGGGATGGGCAGCCTCTTCTTTGAGCAATGGGGCCCCCAAAAAAGATGCAATCATGCTTCCTGCCTGTGGTTGGACATCATACCGTGGCTCCGTAGTAAGGACTCGGTGTGTCTTAAAAACTCGACGGGCGTCAAGGGCAACAGCCCACTCAAAAGTGCACCAGAACCCTTCAGAGATGCGCAAGGCTCAGCTGACACGTCCAAAGCTCTCCAAAGAGGCGCACAAGAAGATCACATAGGACTGCAGCCCACGATGTCAAGCGTCCATTGCATGTAGAGGTTTCAAGGATGGAGACCTGACTTAACGGACCGCCAACTGCCAACACAAAATCTCCCCAGTTTACAAGGAGCGCTGATGCAGGCCTCTTCAAGTTTCATGTAACGTGTCCTTCAATTTATTCCGCCAGAGAAGCGACCAAATTCTTCTGGGATATGAAATGTGAGGACTCGAGTTAACAAGCTGTTCATATCCTGATGATTGTTGTATGATGTTGCCAAATCTCAGGTGTCCGAGTGCTAACTACGCCGAGCAGCGCAGGGTGGGGAACTTAGCGTGACTCCCTGAAAGTCGGCAGGAACTGAAAGATGAGGAAGTGGATGTTTCGTACGACGTTTTGTACTGGTTTCACTTGGTTTCCCGGCTTGGTTGCTTTAAACATCAGATGTCGGTTCGGACGGCCTTCAAGTGTGCAGTACTGAAATCACCGGAATATATGACACTGTGTAGTCTTTTGTTCGTCGGGCTACGCCGCAATGTTGTGGGAGATGTTGAGCGTGAAAAACCCGCAGACGGCAGTACCTAGCTTCAAAGTTTAGGCCGTGAGTCGTAGGTTGAGGGCGGCACTCAGTGCATTTTTTGCTCCAGATGGTTATTGCCCCCCTTTAAGCTCTCTGTTCCTTCAACGGTTCACGGCTTCCGCGCAAAAATATCTGAAGAGCGTGAACTCGGCCAAGGGACAAAATCCTGCACGACCCTGGGTACCCAAACCCTGTCAACTATGGCGCGAGAATCCAGTTTGGAGTTGTGCAGGGCTTGTTCAGTATATTGCATCAGGGGTCCGTGGGACAATGAGAGATTCATGTTGCAAAGCGAGGTCCCTTTTAGGGGGATGCCCAAAATGACGGTTACCATATTTGGGGGTAAATGCGGGAGAAATATGGTGAATCTCGTGAAGACGGTTTGGGGTTCAGGGTTGGGTGTTTTTTGATGTCGGTGCCAGAAATGGTGAGCCTTTCAACCCTTGGGAAGCTCATCCCACATGATCGGTATGCGGAGGCTTCCGTAGATGCGGAGCGTCAATATAGACCCCAACATATTCTAGTCCTTGTTACAGGTACCCTCAAACAGGGACCCCTGACGGATGGAAACCCAGAGATAAAAAGGCCCCAACATGGCTTTGCTTTAGTTCTAGACTAGCCAGTCAGAAATCATAAGCATCATGCGGCGAAATGCACCCAATTCTGTCTTTGAAGAAGCGTAGGATGGTTATTATGGTACCCCTAAACCCTGGAGCACGGGAGTCCAGAAGTATGCGAAAGCTTCAAGAACCCCATGAATTCAACCACGACGTATCAGGCCTGAAAAAAGACTGCTGAGAACCTGGCGTGCTCAGGAATCCTTCTGTCTGCATAAAGCTGCAACCACATTTTGGTGGTTTCCCAAATTAGGTGTACGTTTTTTTGGGGTCCCCATATCAGGGATTATAGTATATTGGGGTCCATATTGGGGTCCACCCATTTTGGGAACCTACCATTTTTGAAGCTTCCTCAGAGCTTCGGGCCGCTGGTTTACGAAGACCATGTCAAACTCGCCCAGGTATCACCAAAACCCGATCCAGATCTACTACTGCGGAGATGAGAAACTGCATGACCAGGGCATTTGCGAGGTTCCTTCGACAAGAATGTGTATTTGCCCAGAATCCTCAGAGATGGCAGTTACCGAACTGGTGGTGTAGCACCCATTACTTTGATCTCAAAATCAAAATTCTAGCACTGATCTGATTTAGGCACAAGGCATGTCGGCCATGCCCGGCATAAAGTCCGACATGTGTGCGGTACTAATTCCTTTTAAATCAGTCTTTCGCACTAGTCCTGTATCACCGGATGAGCACTCATCTAAATCGCCGTCATGGCAAGACTTCCTTCCCATTCGCCAACTCAATTTTGGGGAATCTTAGTGGGATCTTGACAGCAATGGCCCGAATGGCGTCAGGTTCCTTGAGCCTCTCATTTTACGGCTTCCGGACTCATTATTTCATTCGTCGCCAGGTCACCCAACCCCTGAGGATGGCATCACCAACACGTATTAGGGATTACTACTAGTCGTAGTAGTAGTCATCGTCGTAGTAGTAGTAGTAGTTATTACTCTTATTGATATTATCATTAGGAATTATACCAGTAGTAGGTAGTTAAGCTGGGTCTCTTGTTGTGAGGGTCTTTGGCACCTTGAACGGTTCGCACCTATGGGCTTGTTGGATTCCTGCAATTTCCTTGGTTATCAGAACCTAAAAGGGTTCTTGGATTCCTTCCCACTTCTTTTTGGGACCCTAAGTGCTACATGTCAAGATCCCATACTCTGCAAAGTTCACCCAGCCCCGGGTAGCTCCAAATTAGTTACCAACACAAGCAAGCCCCGTGTATAACCTCTATATAACCTCATATAAGCGTATATGAGTTCTATATAATCTCACATAACCCTATAGAACCCTTGTATAACCTTATATAACCTTATAGAATCCCCGCACAGAAAACCTTAGGCGCCCAAAGCCTGAGCCCGGAACCCTCAATTCAAATCCCGGTGTTGGGGTATCTTGCTATGGTTGGCGTGGTTAGGTGCATGGGTCCATCACACGGCATAGAAGGGAACCCCCCTCCAATTACTATATATGCAACGCTTGCACTGCTTTGCGTCAGGTGGTGCTTTGGCTAGTGCAATTGCAAGTGCCATCGAGCAACTGGAAAGATAGTCATTCATTGTTGCTGAGCAATTTCCTGTTTTGCTGTGTTTGTTCCTGTTGTTTATTTGCGACTGGATATCTGATATGCCGCCTTCGACTCGGTGAGCCGCACGCAGCTGTGCCACGACCAACTCGTCCTGTCATGTCAGGTAAACAGTGTCGTGGCTCGGTCTGAGAACCAGCAACCTTCCCATACTTCCTTGCCGTGCTTGTTGCGTGTGTGCCTCCCGGGCCCATTCAATCCAGTATTGGTTGCACTCAAGGCGTGTGTGATGCTAATTTTTCTCAAAGTAGGAATTGCGGATTGCAGTACGCCAGCCTAGGGCAAGTCTTCCGCGTGTGAAGAGCGGGGCAGATCAGGAAGACATGGGACTCAAGCGTTCGGCTTTGGGATTAATTGGACTGGTGCGTTGTGTAGGGCATGATAGTGTAGTGCTGCAGGAGCTTCCCGAACATACCGCGGAGCAACTCCTCTTTCTGTTCACAGACAGGGCACCAACGCTGAAGCGCCATCTCTCTGAATGGCTGCAGATGCTTCAGTACAACCACGGGAGCTCCACCTTGCAAGAGCTTCCTCGACTTCCTAGAGGCTTTGGCGGAAGGTTCTCACAGTAATAGAAGGAGGCGCCGCACGCAAGCAGCCAAGGGAGTCGTACATGCTCTCGGCTTTGTTGTCGCATAAGCTAGGGCTGCAGGCGTTTGGTCCTATTGTGGGAGCTTGGCTTGCAGCCAGCAAATGGGATCGCAGGCCGCCTACTGAAGCTCTGCCTGTCTACTTCCGTGTGGTGCCCGAGTTTGAGGAAGTTGCTGCGAGTAGTGTGTGATGATGCATGACTGATACAGTGCTTCCTCTTCATGCTTTGGAGCGGAGCAAATCTTCCCCTACTGTTTTTTCATGTGGCTGCTTGCTTCAGGGTTACGCTGGCAAGTTTTGGTGCCGGCCATTTACGGATGCGTTGCTCAGGATTTGTGCAGTAAATGCTAAGCGGGACTTTGGAATTCTTGAATGGCCCGCCCCACGGCATATTCCTCCACATTGGAACCCAGTTCCGACGCTCTCCACAGCCTAAACGCCTCTACCCTCAGCTGGGCTAACCAGTTAGGCATATCCACGGAGGAAAGAGCTGCGCAAGGTCACCACCGCCTTCGTAATTCATCTGGCTGCGTGGAGAAGTACCGCCAAGATGACATTTTGCCGGCCCTCAGCTGCCAGCGGCAGCTACGGCTACCGGGTGGATTCCTGGCACGCCTGTGACACGTGGCATCAAATCTGCTATGGAGCCAGTTATTCTGAAGCTCAGACACTGGGCCTGAGGAGCCATGTGAGGCGACGCCGCTGTTGCCCGGGCTAGTTGATGGCTGCCAGAGTGACGGGGGATTCTCGGCAATGACACTCGTGTTGTTCTATCACAGTTTGAAGGCGCTTGGGTGGTTAGTCTTGTGCGTGGCCTGGCGCAGAAAGGCGTAGAGAATGTACATTGATTTTCCCCTTGATGGGACTACCTTCTTTTTAGGATCAAAGCCTCACAACGTCGCCCCCACATGATCGCCAGGTGACTGGTGTTTCGGCTGTTGTCCTGGAGTTGATCTGGCAGGACGTTTCGAGATTTGCAGCAGCGATCCGGTCCTGGGCGGCTCCACGCTTTGCCGGCACAGTGACTGTTTTGGATAGGTGCGCTTTCTCGCCTTGAGGAACCAAGCGTCCTTTATTCAACTCTTGATATCACTCTCGATGCTCGATGTGCTTGAGTGGCTATTCCGTTATGGACTTGCGATACGTGATGTAGCCTTATGATGTGACGTCTGGACCGTTGGGCAGCTGGCAGTTTGTATTTGCCCCGCTCACGTGATGTGATTCTGCGGATTGTATTGTGTGTGAATACCGATTCTTGTGTGTGCGCGCTTGTGCTTGTCACGGATTGCAAGCTAGGACACCTTCCAGCGGCTTTGAACCAACAAATTGTCTTCCTGAGGCTCTCGGCAAGGTGTTGATAACTTGGGGCTTCACCACAGCTGCGGACGTGCACTGGGCGCTGGAGGCTGGGGCAGAGCAGACGGTCAAGTCCATCCTCACTGAAGCCAAGATTGAGAAGGGGTTGACTACCACGGACCACGACGTGCGGCATAAGGATGTCTTGGCCAAATACCCCTCACGTTTTATTTTTGGGGCCACCCTGCCAGCAATGGGATACCTGCAATCTATTTACGGTCAGAGCACTGGCAGGCATTCGGAATGGGTTCCAATGGAAACGCATGTTGACCGAGGATGCTAGTGTGGAGATCCGCCACAGGAAGAGCCAGGGCTTGCAGGAAGCGGAGTGCATGCGCCCTCCGTCGGCTGACGCCGTTCACCATGTGGCAATTGAGCACGACCGTCTCCTGGTGCCGGTGCCAGACCCCGAAGATTGACAAGCTCGGCTTGGGCTCGAGGAGCGAAGGGAGTTTCGGGCAAGCGCCAGCCTAGCCGCGTACCAGGCGAGTGGCCAAGCCGCGCACGGGGAAATGCCACGACTGGGTCGATGGCAGGTGCGATAACAAGTTTGCAAGTGGAAGCATGCGTGCGCAAAATGTGTTTGCAAGACTCATTTCTCCTTGCATTGCGACCAGTGACTTGATGACCCAACATCTGTGTGTGCCAGCGACGTCCTGGGTTGTGATCAGCGTGCCACGAAAGCAGCGTGTGATGCGTCAGGCGTGTCAGGGCGCGTGTGTTGAGTTGGGTCGGTGGGTGCCACCAAGCTGGCGATCCCGTTTAGGTTTAAAAATGGCGGTGGTCTTTGGTCAGACGCGGACGGGATGTATCCACGCTGCGCAGACCTTGCTTTGGCAACTGCGGCAGACTTGGAAGCAGCAAGTTTATGATTGAGGCTTAGTCTCAGGGCTCTCTTTTATGTGACGATGAGATACATGTTCTTCGTCAGGACATAATGTCCTTTCTGAGTAAAGGGGCTGGCGCTGCGCTGCGAGCGTTGCTGAAGGACAGCCGTTCTCGCTGGATATTTGGAGTGCGTTGCTGGGCTGGTGCGCCCACTGGTATCATGGCGGATATTCCAGCGTCAGGCAAGCGGCGCCCTGTTACGTGCCCTGAACGGCCAAGCCTGGGACTGCTCATGTGTTGCTGGATGCTCTTCGACCGCTGTGCATAGTGGGTGCTAGCGTGGCTCGCCAAAATCTGCAGAGGCTGGCAGACCGTCGATGTTGGTTCAATGCTGGGCTGCGCTGATTGCAATCTTGGATGACCATGTCGTTTCACGCGCTGGAGCAGATAGAGGAACTGGCCCAAGTGCTGGATAGCTCCTTGACAGTCATGTCGGGCTGCGCCAAGTCGGATGTGCAGACCGGGTGGCGCGTGCTGGGGGCCTCCAATCAGGAGGTCACTTGCGCGCAAAGCTTGCTGTCCACTAAGCCACTAGTGCGCGCAGTGGAAGAGCCCGGGTCAAATTTGCAGATTCTTCCGACTCCGGAGACGTAGTTCTGAATACCGATGGGGCGCGCGTGGCCTCCTTTTTCCGGGAGGTCGTGGATGCCAATGTGCTGGTACAGCTTGCGACGACCCCAGGCTTCCCTGGCGCGGCTGACAGAAGGCGATGTTGCCGGCCCGGCGTCGGTGGCTAGTGGAGAGCCAGAGGTGGGTCTTCACCCAGAAAATTTATACTGTTTCTCTGTAAGCATTCGACTTCGTGATCTACTTGCGTGGTTCCTGAAGCCTTTGGCGCCGGTGCGCGAGACCTCCAACCACTTGTAGCAGCCTTGGAAGCTCTAACTCAACTCATCCTCTTGGTGCGTAGGTGCTGATCTTTGCCCAGGAAGGGTGACATTGGATGGTTGGCTAGATGTTGTTGGAGCAAGGAATGTCCCTGCGAGAACTTTTGGCAACTGTGCTGCAATCTGCGGGAGTGCTGTGTGCAAGACAGCGCCTTGACCTTCCGCTCAGCCATGTGGCCGGCGTGCGGACCGCTTGGAGGCTATTAGACATGCGTCGCAGGGTGCACCGTGATTGGATGCGCTTGCAGGAATTGGGCCATCGGGCTGCGGCGTGCCTAATGACCACTGGCCCAACCGCCTTTGTTCTAACCACGCTGTCGTGCGGTTGTGCTAGTTGGAGCGGTCAGGTTTGGCGACGGCTGCGCATTGGTGCCGAATTATCTAGTGTGGGAACAGAGACAGCTCATGCAGCATTTGGTCGCCAAGCATGTGTGTGTGGGTATCCACCTGGCTTGTGTTCGGGTTCCTGCTAGTTCTGTGTGATGACTGATTATTTTGGTTTAGGGATTACGATTGACATATATCTGGAGGTCCCTCCCTTTACGGGCTATACCTTGCACAAATATGGAACAAAAGGGAAGGACATCCAGGGTCCAGGCAA